GCTATGTTTACTGTGACGAATTCCGATCCTAGTTTTACATTTAACAATACTAGTTTGAGAAGTAAGACCTATCAATGGACATTTAGCGATACTTCTTTAAATATAAATACGATTAACAGTTCTCGAACGTATAAAAAAAATGGTGATGTTTGGGTCTTATTGACAAGCAGTCACCAATGCAGCTCCGATACTCAAAAAGTATCGATTAAAGTCACAAAAGCGAGTCCAAGTACTGGAAATATTTCTGTAAACAACGAAAATATAGTTTCGATTTATCCTAATCCAACGAAAGGATATTTGACAATAGCCTCAGAGGAAGGCGGCCAGCTTAGACTATTAAATCTAGAAGGCAAACTAATTTATCAAAAATTCATTCAGCCTGGAAACGAGTCTGTCTTGTTAGTCAACATACCTTCAGGCATATACCATTTAGAATTTACAGACAAATTGGGTAGAACGCAAGGGATGAAATTAGTTAAGGAATAAAACTTTGCTATAAGTAGTTTTGGTCGTTTACTTTTGAGTATTTACTAGATTTTATAGAGGTTTATTTTCCTATTTTTTTTCGTCTACAAAGAATATAAACTATATTTACGTTTTAATAGTTGAATCTTCTATGCGCAAAATATTTAGAAAAAAATCTATCAAAGGAATCATTGAGAGTCATAACTTGATGGAAGATGGCGATAAGCTCCATAGAAATTTGTCTGTTGTCGATTTGACATCTTTTGGTATAGCTGCAGTAATAGGTGCAGGTATTTTTTCTACCGTTGGTAAGGCTTGCTTTTCTGGTGGTCCAGGGGTTATCTATCTTTTTATATTAGCAGCGGTGGCGTCAGGGTTTACAGCTATGTGTTATGCAGAGTTTGCATCGCGTATACCTGCAGCAGGTAGCGCATACACATACGCATACACTACATTTGGAGAGGTCTTTGCCTGGATTATTGGTTGGGCACTGGTCATGGAATATAGTATAGGAAATATAGCGGTAGCTATATCATGGTCTGAATATTTCCAAACTCTTTTACAAAATATTGGGTTGAGTCTGCCTGAATGGCTAGGGGTAGATTACCCCACAGCTAAGAAAGCCTTTATGGCAGGTTTGTCGAATAAATACGCGTCAGCTTATGCTCTAGCACCTGATATTTTAGGGTTAAAGCTCATCGTAAATCTTCCCGCTTTTCTGATTAATATTTTAATCACCATAGTAGTATATGTAGGTATTAAAGAGTCTAAAAATTTCAGCAATTTTATGGTGCTATTGAAAGTGGCCGTGATCCTTATGGTCATTGGTGTAGGATTTTTTTATATAGACGGAGCTAATTGGAATCCATTTATGCCTAATGGATTTAAAGGAGTCATGGCAGGAGTTTCATCCGTATTCTTTGCCTATATAGGATTTGATGCTATTAGTACTACGGCAGAAGAATGTAAAAATCCAAGATCCGATTTACCCAAAGGAATGTTTTATGCTTTATTGATTTGCACTGTGCTATATATATTGTTAGCTCTAGTTTTGACTGGCATGGTACCTTATAATCTACTTGACGTGAAAGATCCTTTGGCCTTTGTGTTTTATCAAAAAGGAATGCACTGGATAGGTGGGGTCATTAGTGTGAGTGCTATTGTAGCTATGACGAGCGTGCTTTTGGTGTTTCAAATGGGTCAACCTCGCATATGGATGTCTATGAGTAGAGATGGTTTGATGCCAAAGAAATTTTCTAAAATTCATCCGAAGTTTAAAACGCCCAGTTTTGCTACCATAGTTACAGGGCTAGTGGTCGGTATTCCTATACTTTTTGTTGATTATGATTTAGTGATAGATTTTACAAGTATATCTACCTTGTTTGCCTTTGTACTAGTATGCGGCGGGGTATTACTATTGCCGGAAGAAGCTAAAGATAAAACTAAATTTAGTCTACCTAAAATCAGCTCGAGATATATTCTTCCTTCTATAGTTATAATCATAGCTATCTGGGGAGGTTATACTAATGATGGGACAAAATACTTCCGTGAATTAGTTCAATTCGTACCAGTAGATAAAACATTTTCACTATTGGGCTTTCATTTTTTCAACTATGCGGATGCCAATGTGACTAATATATCTTTGATATTTTTTTATATTCTTTTAGTGATTTTTACAGTATTGGCTATTAAGAAAAATTTTACACTAATTCCTGTTTTAGGACTATTGAGTTGCGCCTATCTGCTGACAAGTATGAATCTACTTAATTGGATTTATTTCATTATCTGGATGATAATAGGACTTGTGGTTTATTTCTTGTATAGTCATAAGAATAGTAAACTGCATATTTAAGCTGTTTAAAAAACATTCTTGTGAAGTATATTGTCCTAGTTTTGTTTACCATATTACTATTTATAAATAATGATAGTCTAGTACTATGGGAGCAGGATGAGGCGGCCTATGCAGGATTTGCTTACAATATGGTGGAGAGTGGTCAATATCTGATTCCTGATTTTGAATGGAGCTGGCCACACAGAAAACCTCCATTACATTTTTGGCTAATAGCGGGATCATACAAAGTTTTTGGATATAATGAATTCGCCACACGATTACCATCTGCAATTGCTATTCTCGTTTGTGTCTTTCTCATTTATTTTTCTACGTTACGTTTATATTCAAAAAATATAGCTCTTTGGTCTAGTGCCGTATTTATGGGAAGTCTGCTCATGCCGCTATATGGCAAAATTAGCTTAACCGATGCTAGTTTACTCCTCTGTTTTATCGGTAGTTATTTTAGTATACAATCCTATATTAAAGATGAGCATCCAAAGTGGTTAATGAGTCTTTTTCTCTTTGTTTCAGCTGGAGCCCTCGTGAAAGGTCCACCTATTTTTATTCCAGTATGTGGTGCTTTATTCATGTCATTTATTTTCGGTCAGCGAAAAAAGCTATTTTTAAAGCTCTTCCTCATTAGTATTCTTGGTATATTACCTTTTTCATTATGGGCTTATGCCACTTGGATGGAAGATGGGGGTAAATTCATCCACTGGTGGATAGATTGGTATATATTGAAAAGAACTTCGGGGACTATCTATGGACAGTCAGGCGTTATAGGATATTATCTGCTTGTATTTATCTTGTGTTTCTTGCCTTGGTTTCTTTTTATTCCGCTTTCGCTTAAAAAATTAATTCAAGACATTCTTCAAAAACACAAATCTGATCAACACCTATTTCAATTGGGATGGATACTGTTTGGGTGGATTTTTTATGAAATTGTTCGAAGTAAATTGCCATCTTATGCTTTTGCTGTCATTCCTATTTGGTGTATTTACCTAGCTCAAACGATATTAGCCTTTAAAGAAGAAAAAATTGTAATTTCTAAACTATATCGAGCAGTTTGGGCCGGTTTTTGGATACTATTAGGACTTGGCATTTTAATCTTTAAGGATAGGATACCATTCGATAATATGCAATTTACCACTCTAGTCTTGGCTTGTTATTTCTTCATATTTGGTCTCCTCTATTGGCTTTCATCTAGGCTAAAAGTTTTAAAAAATCGCCTACCAGAATTGGCATTAGGCTTTGCTCTTGGCCTCAATTTCATAGCATGGGGTTTGGCAATACCTGCATTTGAGTCTACCCGACAATTTCCTAAGGTCATAGCAGAGAGACTAATTAAGCTAAATCACCACCCTAAACATGTATTCTTTTCAAGTGATTACTCTATGTCTAGCCTACCAGTCTATCTAGCCTGGTCTGGCTATAAATTTCAAACTGCAGATAGAGAAAATTATGATCAATTTACCCAAGATTCATTGCGGTTTTCTTCTCATAAACTTTTTATGATTCAACGAAGAAATTTTCACTCATTATCTGAGTTAAATGATTCCTTTAAACTAAGCCCAATCTACGGATGGATAAGTGATAGAGGAGTAATAGATACTTTTTTCATTGCAGAACGAGTGAAAAGGAATTAAGATGCCTTTATGTCCTTCTTTACTGAAAATGGGTTGATTGTTTTACGCATCAAATAAAAACCAAAAAGAGACGGTATGAGTAGGTTGATAATCCATATCAAATAATTCACTGCCATAAGTTGAACAAAATTTTTAGTATAAAGACTAAAAACGAACAGTACTAAATTAGCTCGAATACCAACATCGAGCGCACCCATAGAGGGTATCACAAACTGTGCTAAAAAATATACTCCGCATAGAATATAGAATTCAAAATAAGGGAACTCATTAAAAAAAATAAACATAAGAAGCCAATACTGAGTCACAAATATTAGAAACCGGAAAGACCCAATACTTAATAATGTAAGTTTCGTGGGAAGATTATAGTGAAGAAATTCTCCAATAGACTCAAAAATTTTTCGCAATGATTTCACCTTAGCTAGCCATAAAATCATGATTTCAGGCTTCAAATACATGAATAGCCAAAAGATAACATCTATAACGGAAATTAATGTAATAATACCTGCTATAGATAGACCTAGATGTAAAAAACTGAGCTTCTCTGTAGATAAAAAACCATGAGAATGTGCATATATGAGAAACATCAATCCTACTAAAGGGGAGGCTACTTTCTGCACGATAGAAACGTAATAGGCTACTCCAGAACCATTGACTCTATTTTCTTCTTTTAGAACTAATGGTCTCCCTGTAAGTTCTCCAAGACTAGCTGGTAAGATTAGGTTGAGTGCATTGCCATAAAGAATACCTCTATATGCTTTCCAATAGCTAATTTTTTCCACTCGCTGAACGCATAGGTAGTATTTGAGCGTCTCAAACCCCCAATTAAAAAAAGTCAAGATTATAGCAAAGCCAAGGAAGTAAAGTTTATCTGGGGAGAATTCCTCTTTGAATAAAAGATAGGTATCATAAAAACCCTCTTCTGAAAACTTTGAATATAAATTATAGAATAAAATGAAAGCTAATGCTAGCTTTAGGATAAAAAAATTTATCTTTTTATGTTTGGTCCAAAACTTTTTAAGTGTATTCAACGTCTTAAAGTCAAGTCTAGCATGCTATACATTAAATCTAAAGTGCATGATATCGCCGTCTTTGACTAGATATTCCTTACCTTCTACTCTAAGCTTTCCTGCTTCTTTTACCTTGGACTCACCACCTAAGGTTATAAAATCTTGATAAGCTATTACCTCAGCGCGTATAAACCCTTTCTCAAAATCAGTATGTATAACACCAGCAGCTTGGGGTGCCGTATCACCTGTATGAATAGTCCAGGCTCTAACTTCTTTCACACCAGCAGTGAAATAGGTTATTAATTTAAGGAGTGAATACGATTTCTGAATGAGCTGCTCCACACCAGATTGTTCAAGCCCCAAATCCGAAAGAAATGCTTTTCTATCATCAAAACTCTCTAACTGCGCTATATCCGCCTCTATAGCTGCACTGATGATGAGAACTTCTGCATTTTCATCTTTTACCGCATTTTTTAATGCTTCTACATGTGCATTTCCAGTCTTGGCAGATGCTTCGTCTACATTACAGACATAAAGAATAGGTTTGTTCGTCAATAAATTAAGTGTTTTGACGACCCATTCTTGATCTTCTCGAACGAGAATAGTTCTTGCTGATCGACCATCTTCAAGGCATTCTTTATATAAATGGAGAAGCTCCATAGCCTGTATCGCCTGTTTATCACTACCCACCTTTGCTTGTTTTTCATACTTCTGCATAGTCTTAGTGACTGTTTCGAGATCCTTTAGCTGTAACTCAATATCTATAACCTCTTTGTCTCGCACAGGATTTACACTACCGTCTACATGGATCACATTTCCATCTTCAAAACAGCGAACCACATGCAGTATAGCGTCGGTTTCCTTAATATTGCCGAGAAACTGATTCCCAAGACCTTCTCCTTTACTAGCGCCTTTCACTAGCCCTGCTATATCTACTATTTCTACCGTAGTCGGTACTAATTTCTCTGGAATGACTATTTCTGATATTTTTGTCAATCGCTGATCTGGAACAGTAATTACTCCTACATTCGGCTCTATGGTGCAGAATGGAAAATTAGCAGCCTGTGCCTTTGCATTCGTTAATGCATTGAAAATAGTTGATTTTCCTACATTTGGTAATCCTACGATACCACATTTTAATCCCATCTTATCGTTATATATTTCGTTAGCTAAAGCTACAAAGGTAAGGGAAAATTTTTATTTATAAATTTTGTTGCAAACCCTCTATTACAAATCCAAATAGCAGTATAAAACCTGTATGTGGATTATCTTTCTATGCCTTTTCATAAACCTGATATAGTTTGACAACTTCTACTGCTTCCTTCACATCATGAACTCTCAGTATTTTCGCACCATTTCTCAAGGCTTCAAAATGCAATGCACTAGTTCCATTCAGTGCTTCCTGAGGAATACAGTCTAGGCATTTATAAATCATACTTTTTCTAGATAAGCCTACTAAAAGAGGACAATCTAACTCCTGAAAAATAGCTAAATTTTTAAGCAGGTTATAGTTGTCAGATAAACTTTTACCAAAGCCGAACCCCACATCTAAAATAATATCTGATATTCCAATTTTCCGCATAATCTGTAATCGTTGGCTAAAGAAATAAAGAATCTCCGTTATGACATTTTCATAATTTGGGTTATTCTGCATATTGGCTGGACTGCCCTTCATGTGCATAGCTATATAGGGAGCATTGAATCGTTTAGCCACTGCTAAAATTTGTTCATCTTTTGTACCAGCTGTTATATCATTTATAATAGAAACCCCTTGGTCGAGCGCATAATTAGCTACCTCACTTCTATAAGTATCTATACTAAATATTGTTTGAGGAAATTCCTTAACTACATAACTTAATACACCACTCAGTCTGGATAGTTCTTCTTCAATACTCAATTCCTGACTGAAGGGTCTGGAACTCATGGCGCCTATATCTATAATATCGGCACCTTGCATTATCATATTTTCTATGTGTTTCAAAGCCTCCATATTATTTTGCTGCTTCCCACCATCATAAAATGAATCAGGAGTCAAGTTCAATATGCCCATAATCTTAGGTTCATTTATTGTCCATAAATTACCCTTGATATTGAGCGAATGGAGTTTATTTTGCGTGTTATATTGATTCATGAAATGTGAATGAATTAGCTTACGCACAAATGTATGGATTAATTTTTCAATTATTTTTCTCCTCAATACTTTTATACCATTTATATTTCAATGTCGTTTAGTTCGTGTTTGGTTCGTGGGGACACGAACCATTGCAGTTCGCCAAGCTGCGTGTCTCACGCAGCATTCGCATTTCTTATCTAAACAACATTGATTTATATTTATAATTTAGTTTCGCTTTCATTCCCTATGATGACATTCACGATGTATTCTATCAGAATGATTTTAACTGGACGGTAGCACCATCTAACCATGAGACCAAGGAGTTTCAGCTCATCTTTGATAAAGTCAAAAAAAGCGTAGATGAAAAATCCTTGATATATCATTACGACAAAGACAGTCGTGAACTTAAAAAATTTATAAAAGAAAATTTTAAAGTAGGAAAATTTGGAATGACCAAGACTAAAATTGATAAAAACAATTTTATGGTCATTTATAATAAGTGGCTAGTAGAAGTTAAGCCTACCATAGCAGTCAATTGGGATATAGCAAAAAAGACAGGTATTATCGATGGTGATTTTTATTTAGCAGACTTGCTTTCAAGAGAGAATAATACGCTCAAAGATAAACTATTCGTACTTCTAAAAAATAGCTATTACGAACTAGAGCGAAAGCTTAATGAGGCAGGGATGTTTAGCAGTGCTAAAGTAGAATTTAACGACAACCAACTAGCCCATACCCAATTCTGGAATCGCTATGACCGACCGCCCAAAGAAGAATACTGGGACTATATTGTAGAGCGCAGAGATTTACTAGTACCGCAGGATGTCAGAGAGCGAAAAGGAAGTTTCTTTACTCCTCAGATTTGGGTAGAGTTATCTCAAAAGTATTTGACAGATTACCTAGGCGAAAACTGGCAAGATGAATATTATATATGGGACTGTGCGGCAGGGACAGGAAACCTATTAAATGGCCTGACAAATAAATATCATATCTATGCATCTACGCTCGATAGACAAGATGTAGAGGTCATGCACGACCGTATCAAAAATGGAGCGAACTTATTGGATAGTCATGTATTTCAATTTGATTTTCTCAATGATGATTTCTCCAAAGTACCTAAATCATTACAAGATATAATAAATGACCCTGAAAAGCGAAAGAAATTAGTCGTATATATAAATCCGCCTTATGCAGAGGCTAGTAACCGAGATACAGTTACGGGTAAGGGTGAAAATAAATCTAAAGTAGCTACAGAAACTTTAGTTTATAATATGTATCATACAAAAATAGGCACAGCTGCGAGAGAATTGTTTGCCCAATTTTTAATTAGAATTTATTCTGAAATTGATAGCTGTATTATTGCAGAATTTTCAAAGTTGAAAATTCTGCAAGCAACAAATTTTTCGAAGTATCGAAAATTTTTTCGGGCTTCGCTCGAAAAAATTTTTATTTGTCCCGCAAAATCATTTGACAATGTCATTGGCTCTTTTCCCATTGGATTCAAAATATGGAATACTGCGAAAAATGAATTATTTGAAAAAGCAATTGCCGAGACTTACAATGCAAATGGTAATCTAATTGACACAAAAATTATACATTCTTATAACGAAGAAAAATTTATGTACATTTGCCACTTGAATTCAGCATGGAAAATTCTACAATTACTACTTTTAAAAATATCATAGCCAACTGTCAAGAAGTTTTTCTAAAGAAAAATCAGGACTATGGTATGTCATGGACTATTATGCGATTGAGTTCGCTAACTGATCAGATTTTTATCAAAGCGAAACGAATTCGTAATATACAAGAATCTCAGCAGAATATTATTGGAGATAGCCAAGAAGATGAATTTCACAGTATTATTAATTATTGTATTATGGCTATGATCATAGCCAGCAATAAGGAAGATAAACTAGAGTCTATGCAGTTAGATCAATTGAAATCGAGCTATGATTCGGTTGTAAAGGATACCTTAGATTTACTTTCTAGAAAAAATACAGATTATGGCGAGGTATGGCGTGATATGCGAGTTTCCTCTATGACAGATATTATCCTAGCCAAACTATTAAGAATAAAACAAATTGAAGACAATCAAGGAGCTACAACCATTTCAGAAGGAGCATATTCTAATTATCAAGATATTCTCAATTATTCTATTTTCTGTATAATTCAGCTAGCGGAATCTGCTTCTCATTAGATTTTTTTTCCAATACCTTATTGTAATTAGTAATTGGTCAAAAAATGACCAAAACTATTTCTAGTACAGTATTAAACCTAAAAAGGTCGGGGTATACTTATTACAGCAATTGGTATAAAACTGCACTTTTCTAAACTTGATTCACATTTCTTTAAAAAAAGTAGCAAATCATATAGAAAAAAATAATTGTTGAAAAAAAAGTTTTATCTTTGATGCTTTTAAAATTAGCTTTGCAATAGATAAAAAATCAATGCATTTATGAAAAATTTCAACTTAGTATTATTTTCATTTTTATTCCTTCTTTTAGTTGGTTTTGTAGCCAAAGAGCCTATGAAGCGCTTTGAATATATGGCTAGTTATAAAAAGTCAAAGAAAATGCCTTTAGAGTCTAAAATTCAAGGTAGAGCCGAAGAGAGAGCGAATCAACTCCGTAATGTGGTTACAGGCAAAGTTGATGACAATGATTATTATAAGGCCATAGCCGAGATAGAAGCATTATCTGGGTCTAGATTGTCGGCTCGTGGGGAAGAATTAAAATGGGAACCGCAAGGCCCGAATCAAGTAGGCGGTAGAACTCGCGGATTTATTTTTGATAAGACGAAAGAAGGTAGAGTCTATTGTGGAGGTGTATCAGGTGGGTTATTTGTCTCTGATAATTTAGGACATAATTGGAGACCTGTAAAAGACATGGCAAATGTATTTAAAATAATGCCGATAGGCTGTATGATCCAGTCAAAAGATGGCGATATTTATGCAGGTACAGGTGAGTATTGGGGAAATGACCCGAATGCTAACTTCGGTTCACAGTTTTATGGGAATGGTATCTATAAGAAAAAAGCAGACGAAGAGGATTGGGTTCTTTTAACTAGTACAATAAAAGGAAATTTAACGACAGTAAACCAGACCTTAGATTTCAGTCAAATTGTTGAAATAGCATGTGACCCTATAGATAATAATGTTGTATTTGCTGCCACATCAAATGGTTTACAAGTTTCAAAAGATGGAGGAAGCACTTGGGTGAAGTCAAACGCTTCAGGTGGTCCAGGTAATATACCTGTCGCACAAGTAAAATTTGCATCTGATGGCACTATTTATGCAGCATGGAGTGGAAAAGTATTCAAATCAACTAATGGCGGTACATCATTTACTGACTTAATTGGTAATAAACCTGAATGGATATCGAATAACAATCAGCATGTTCGATTAGCTGTATCTGCTACAGACCCATTAAAAGTATATGCCTGTGGCCTTACTCCTAATGCTGATTTAAAATATGTTATTTTGACTGAAAATGGAGGTACATCTTGGGAATTTCTGGGAAAAGCTGACCCTAGCTTTAGTGCATTATGTAATGGTGATTTAGGTTGCCAAGGCTGGTATGATCTTTGCCTAACTGTTCACCCTACCGATGATACAAAAGTCTACTTTGGAGGAGCACATAGTGCTTATTCATGGTCTAGAGCTAGTGGTTGGATTCAAATGTCTTCAGGATATTCCCCAGCCATTTTAGGATTCAATCAAATACATGCGGATCATCATGAATTTGCTTTCCATCCAACTCGTCCTGATACAATGGTTATCTGTACAGATGGAGGACCTTATATAACATATAATGGTATATCAGGTTTCCCAACTCCATTATGGAAGCCCATTTTCACAGGTTTGAATATCACACAATTTTATGATATGGCCGTGAATAAGTATGGTGAAATAGTAGGTGGAACACAAGACAATGGAACACAATTTATTACACTAACCAATAAAAATAATGTAGCCTTAGAAATAAGCGGTGGAGACGGGTTTGATTGCGCTATTTCCGCAGCTAATAATTATCAATTGGCTTATACATCTGTATATAGAGGATCTGTATCTAGAACGACAGATTTGACAACCACTAGAAAAGCCTTAGCAGCTGGGTGTGTAGAAGAAGGCGGAAATTTTTCGAATGTAGGCTTTCATACTAGAATTGGTCTCGTAGAGAAGGTAGTTACAGCACCTGGGGTGTTTGATGAAGTAGAAAGATCTTATCTTTTTGTTTTTGGTGGAAATGGTTATACTATATCAGAAAATGCACATATACCGAGTAAGCCTACAATGTTTACTAATTGGGAAAATAGAGCAGGCGTGGGAACAATATATGGAATACATAGCACCAAAGATATCTCAACGGTATATATTCATGGTAGTTCTGGGGTGGCTAAAAATACGACTTTTCATACTAGAGATACTTTTACAATAGATAAAGCTATACCTAATCAGCCATGCTTAGTTCGTCCTAATATTACTTGGACTGCATTATCAGGAGCTCCTGGCCCAATTGGAGGACTTTATGTTCACCAGACCAATGGCAATTATGTAGTAGCTACTCAAATAGGTTTTGGAGGCACTGCCAAGGTGTATTTATCTACTAACGGTACTAGTTTCACCGCTAAACAAGGAAACCTGCCGATCATGCCTGTATATACCTGCGCTATAGATCCAGATGATGAAAAACATGTAGTCATAGGTACTGAATTTGGAATATGGGAAACCTTTGATATTAGTGCTGCTGCACCGGATTGGAAAGAAGCAAATAAAGAAATAGGAAGAGTACCTGTATTTAAACTTAGAGTAAATCATATAAACAAAGAAGAGTGCACAATGTTATATGCTGGTACACACGGTAGAGGATTTTGGAGAGCACCATTCCCTGACAAGAGTCCAACCACATGTGACTATAAGAAAAAAGTTAGAAGTGGCCTAGATTATATCAATAACATCAGAATACAATTTG